GCCTTTGCGGCCGGTCTGACCACCCCGCTCGACGTGGTGAAGACGCTGCTGCAAACTCGGGGTTTGGCGCAAAACGAGGAAATCCGCTCGGCCAAGGGTCTGTTCAACGCGGCGGCCATCATTAAGCGGCAGTTTGGCTGGAAGGGCTTCCTGCGTGGCGCTCGGCCCCGCATCATTTCCACCATGCCCAGTACCGCTATTTGCTGGTGAGATCGATCCGGCACCAAACTCTTGGAGAAACATTTCGCTGATCGTATTTATCTAGGACCTCCTACGAGATGGCCAAGGCCTATTTCAAGGGCCAGCCGGACAACTAAGTCCACCTTTTCATTTTTTCCTCAACGGCCCAATTGCATGAATCCGACACACTCGCTTCCCTTCCTCTGCACCTGACCCCCCGGGGAGAAACACGCAACAACCCCCTCCCGCCTTTGCATCGCTTCCCCCTCCTAAAAAACATTCAAGGATAGAAATAATAAAATCACGACTCAGAAAATAGCCCAAAATGCTTCGATTCGATGGAGAGAAAAAAGAACGAACCTATTATCCAATGTATCACATGCGAGGAGGAAGGCAGACATTGCAGAAGAGAGGGTCCCCCGGTGACACTATCTGGGCGCTGATATAGGGGGCTTTGTCCTCTTCCGATGTTTCTCTCGCTCCTGGTTCCTCGGTCTCTTGCTTGGTTCTCTGTCTTGCTACACACTCACTCCCGTCATTTCGAGTGTCAATATCATCATTATCATCACCACCACCACCACCACCACCACTATACCCCCGACATTCTACATATCGCCAAGTCCGAAGCCCAGACGGGGAAACTCCGAGGGACTCCCAGTCTTTCTCCGAGCTGAGCTGGAACCATGCTTATATTACTCTTCTGACGTGTTATTTTTCAATTTTCTTGATCTGGACGGGGGTTTCTGTTTGGCTGGATGAGTTGGCTAGATGGCGAAAAGTGGACCATCGAGGTGTGGAATGGCGGTTGCGCAGCTGCTGTAATTACTGCTGCTTCTTGGTTGGTTCGAGGCCTTCTGATTTCATTGGGCCTGATGTATGCTTAACTGGTACTAGGCGTTGACGGGACGCAAGGGGGAAATATCTGGACGATTTTCCTTTTTTCTTCCTATTTTCCTTGTATTTTTTGGACTGTCAGGTTGGACTACTACATCTTCTTCCTCTCTGCGCTGCACTGCATTTTATTCTTAGTCTTTGCTGCGCCGCTCGGGATACACTGCGATTGATTCATTGTGAATAAAGTTCTGTATGTACGTTATATAGAGGGAAACTGCAGGAAGAGGCTGATTGGTTTTGTTGGTTGGTTTTGAAGTGGATGGAATGATCCAAAATATGAGACCCTTTTTATTTAATATTTAATAATGAGAGGAGGCGAAGAGGCACTGCAAAGAGAAGGAGGGGAAGAAAGCTGAGCTGAGCGTCCAACGAACGACGTCACTGGGAAAAATCGGAAAAAGAACATCCCCAGACCGAACCCGGCCAAACCCCCTCCAGTTCTCTTCCTACTTGCTACTGCCGACTTTCGACTTCTCCCACTCTCTTTTTATTCCTCAATTTCACTTCACCCCAACTGACGGACTCTTCTCCACCCACTCAATTGGTTGATCTGCACACTTTTCCCCTGCCACTCGTTTCTCCTCCGTCGATCTCCCTTTAATCCCTCCTTCTCCCTCTATAAGTCAATTGCGGGCGGGTCCTGCAAGATTCCCGCTCCATCTCCTCCTCCTCCTCCCCC